TGATTGTCTTGGACATATTATGGCTGTTAAATCAGGTTTGACTGTACTGTTCTTAGAGTGGGAATGAACGGCACCTGTGCAGTCCTCTCATGGTTTAACTAGGTGGGATGTAATTCTTGAAGACACAGCTCGTTATTAGAAGAAAAAAAGGATCACTTTTTTTTGCTTTTGCAGAGTTGTGGTAGACTATGGTGCTTATATGTAAACATTCACAGCATACCAGGCAGCAGAGTTCATAGCATACCACTATTCCTAATGTACCGTGTTTTAAAAGTTCTGTCACACCCATCTTCAAAGTACAATAACTCATTTATTATTCAACGTAACTTAGCGAAATTTGGTACACATGATTTTCATTAATTTTCCGTCAACATGACATAAAAAGAATTGGCCATTGTCTTTCCTTATTTATGGGAGATAGCTTTATTCACTCTTACTCTTGCAAAATCCTAATCAAAGGTATTGTGTCTAGCCTCTTCCAGCTTGATTTACTACTACAAAACGTCTATTCATTGACTTAATAAGTGTCCTTATGGTCGCCTAAGGAATTCCCAGCTATTCCTTGTAAAGTGCAGCCTTCAGTTCCCGACAAGTTTGCACATGGTTTGATCAGTTTCTAATCCTACACTCAAGGTCATCTCGCAGTTGTTCTGTTGGGGTAATTTAGGCCTGTTTATCTTGCTGGCCACTCCAGAACAATGATTTGACGAGTTTAGGTGGAGTTTTGACTGACCATGACCATATAGGGTCAGGAGTTGTCTTGTTGGCACATTCCATCATCCATGCCTTGAACGGAACAACATATGGAAAAAGGATTTTGTCACAATATCATCTTCCTGTGAGGTTGCTATGAATAGTGACCAATGTGTATGATGGGTGTGACCGAATTTTTTGGAACACAGTATACATTAACACTTTGCAGTCACACAGCCAGCGGTACGAAATACTCCGTCTGGTCACCCAGCCAGGAGAGTGACTGCAACAGACTTCTTGGGCCTTGCACCAGGGGATCGGAACAGATAATTGTCACTGTTGTATCATTGCGCCAAGTGACCACTAAGTGTTAACACAATTGAAGATGACAAA